TTGAATTACGTCACCTGCTTGAGGGCTGTGCTAGTTGGTAAAGGAAGCACTCTGGTATGTGACTCAGCATTGCTGAGGTTGTGAGTTCAAATCTCACCAGGCACATGCTCTGTTTGTTTGTCTCTGCATCTTGTGCTGTTCATTTTCTGCGGGATTGTGTGTGATCATAAGACATTGAAAATTGTCACTATGGACCTCGGCCGTATCAGTTATATGGACATTTCACGCGACTTGTCCATTGAAAACATAAAGCAGAGGAAGAGGGTTCAAGAGCATAAATTCTCACTTGACATGTTGATTTCTCTAATTGATGATTTGCACTACACTACATGTGTAGTGTAACTTCTACTGTAGCGTAGCGTAACTAGGCATGTAGTGTAGTGTAGCGTAGCTTAATTTGGTATAAGTTACACTAAATGTTAGCTTCAAATTAGTTACACTATCTGACAGTCAAAATTTTGTTAGCGCAAAAAAAGTTACACTAACTAGCTGAGATTATTTGAAGCTAACACTACCAAAAAATTTGAGAGAAAAATTTACACTACACTAACAGTTAGCGTAGTGGGGTTTAGCGTCAGCTAACACTACAGAATTTCCAGGAAATAAAAAGGCCACTACACTAACAGTTAGTGGTCAAATAGCGTAGTGTAGCGTAGTGGCCCACTGTTGATTCATTCCTGGTAGCCCATTTCCAACATTTGCACCCAGAATTATCACTTTCAGTTGGAGGTTTTTCCTTCTGAATTGAAAATTAGCCAGTTTTTTCTTTTGAACAGTACTCTTCCACATAAATTGTTGAAAGCACACACTGATGGGAAAAAAATACTAAAAGAACCAAAAACTCAGAAAACAAATCAAAGAGAAAAATTTACTGGTAAAAAGGAAATAGCCAGATACAATAAAAACAAAGAAATTGAGATCTGACACCAATTATTTGCGGCTTAGTTGGTGGCATTTATTCATTGTTATGCCATGTGCAAAAAAATTATCAAAGTGCCCTTTTTGGCAAGCTGGCACATCTTTCTTGTGGTCATTCCATTGAATGATGGGAGTTTAACTGATGCCCCTTTTCATATCTTATTCACCACATGTGTGCGCTGTGCCGCTCTTACATTAATCATGACAGTGATGTTACCATACCAACCCCAACGATTTTTGGGTGTGTCATAACAAACAGGGGAGCTGTAGTTCTTCATCTCCACAGCCATTAGTGGGCCACCACACCAACAGGAAATGGAAAACAACTTTTGTTATTCCATGTTCATATGGAAACTTTTGGAATTGAATCTAGAATCACTGTTGGTGTTTTGGTCCACCCTTACCACGGCTGAAGGATGACTGTGCATGTATCCAGGTAAGTGGTCACTGTGCTTTATTTCCATTCAACGCAAAGCTCAATTGGCGGTTGAGAAATCTTATCTTTTGGGTTGGACTGCAAGTCATCAATATCAAACACTACGAGGCATATGTCTAGACAACCCGAACTGCCAATCATCTACCAGGGATACCTAATTACATTCCAAATTTTTGAGGCTTCGTTCGGGGAATCAGTTGGTGGCTGATCAGAATATGGGAAAGGGGAACAAGAGTCGAGAGAGGTCCGGACCTTTCATTTTCGGATACTGTACTATGCACACGGTCGTTTTTCAAAGTGATTTACAACTCCTGGTTGCTTGGTGATAAAATCAAGTCTGCGCTACGACACAATAACTGATCAGAGCTTTGGACTGGGACAACTCTATTGGACCGTTAAGTGCTTACTTCTCGAGACATGTGTTGTTATAATCGTTGTTTATTTTTCCGGTCTTTGTAGGCAGGCAATCTGGTGTTGTCGACGCACTGTTTTCTGAATTCCTCGTCAATTGAACTCAGTACAGTCGATGCCTTCAGGCGACACGAAGTTTAATTTTTCTCCCCAAGACGACGGCACATATCATGACATTAGGCTCTTGTGGGAACACTATGTGTTTCGGTTCAGCTCATCAAAAGACATGGGGATAATGTGAATTTCCTAAACGTGAGTCTTGACATATTAAAACTTATTTTCCTCTGAGCTGACCAGAGCCATAACGAGGATGGCTTTATAAGGTATACCATTATCTCAACAGGACCGGTCCTACCCTAGTATATTCACATCTCTCAATCTGCGGAAGTGTTCCTTTGAATTTGGGCTGGCCTCAGATATATCTATTCACATACAATATATCACGAGTACGGAAGCAAAACAAACAAGGAACGAAGCTCAATAGCTTATCGGTTCTATTATCTAATTACTAAACTCGACATGAAGCAAACGATATTTTACGCGCTTTCAGCTTTCCAGCTATTGAGCCCAATTTCATGCAAACCCCTGATTCCTTCAAAGTTACAGACGAGATCTAACTCGACTGTGTTAATGTCAGTGAAGAATTCATCCTCGCATCT